AGAAATTCGTTGCGCCGCCCTTGGGGGCAAAAAACGGTGAAAGCTAACGTACGAAATCAGAGGGCAGCACACGGTGCGATCGCGCGACCCTGCCCGTGAGCAATCTCCCAACTCATCTCTGTTCTTTGATATACGTTATGATGACGCATTCCACGACCTCGGCGTTTATTACGTATTTTTGACGCGAGCGCTCACTTCTCACATTGTCATTTCACGTGAGTTTATTCGCCGAATTACTTATTTTCTATATGAAAGAATGAGATTACTAGCACTTCCAATTTAGTAATATTATATTTCTGTTCTGCCTATTCTTTTATGCTCCTTTCCAGGTTAGGTGGATTACTTAACAGAAATCTTTTTTTTTTTCTTTAAAGTCATCATGGGTAGTTCATCGATGCAGAGCTTGCTGAACTTGTTGGTAAAAAATGTTAAGAGATGTTAAACGATATTTGTTATCACAGAAATGAGGAAGCCCCCTGAGTTGAGCCGCCACTGTGGCGTATCAGTTGGTAAGTGCATGAGCCGCCTGCATTCTCCATCGAAGGCAGAACGTGATCGCGCAACCTTACCCGTGAGCAATCTCCCAACTTATCTCTGCTTTAGGTTTTACATTTGTGTCATCACCTGTCATGCATGGAAAGCAATGGAAAGGATATAAAGATTATATGTATATTACATTACTGATGTAACACCTGAACGTAAAGTGATATTTATAAGATTTAAAAATGGCGAATATAATTAAGGTGTAACATATGCATTGTGATTAACACGACTACAGTGAGATTAACACAAAATACTATAATTGATATTCCTTTACCTATGATTCTGAGAAAATGGAAAAAGAAAGGTGCGTATACAGTTGCTTTCGATACGGTGATGTTATTACTCAAAATATAAAGTTCCAAAATTTGGACGTTATAAAACTTTTTACAAGAAATCTCAACGTTATGCCAGGATGTAATGAATTTATAATTCTATTTTTTTAATTTGTATTTTGCGACATCAGCTTCTTGTGGATGTTAATCACGGTTTAATGCTTAACAAAAATACATTGTAAATACTGATTACTTTTATCCCAAGAAATCTTTGCAATTTTAGAATTTTTGTATAGTTTTTAATCTGCATAATACTATTCATAAATATGTTAAGTACTTCCAAAAACATTTTTAATTATTTAAATAATTAGGGATAATATCCATTTATACTATAGGTTTACAATGCTGCTCTTGGAACCAGGAGAAATTTTCTTTGAAGACTTTAGTGTTCAGATGAAAACGCTGGGGTCATTAGGTTCTGAAAAAAATGCATGGATAGATGGAAGGCTAAAATTATGCTCAAAATCATTGGTATTTGTAAATAAAGACATTAATCAGCCATTGATTAAAATTCAGCTTAAGGAGACTATAACGGTTGAAAAATCAGATCGAACCGATAGTTCAACAGGGTTTGTAGTATAAAATAATTTTCATGGCAAACATAAGATAACTATATAAAATTCAATGAGTTAACTGTTTCAATATAAATGACTATATAAAACGTAAATTGTTATTAACTATAAATTAAATACTAACAACTATGTTAAATGAAGTAATACTTATTTATACTTTCTTATTCAACCAATTATTTATTTTTAACAGATCCAATGATATTTTGTCAATTAATTGTAAGCAATATGTGGAGATGTTGGAAGGAAATATTCTTGCTCCTTACAAATTTGTACATAAAAATACATGTTTTTTATTATCTTTTAATTATGCCAAAGTTGAGGATTGCCTTTCTCAAATGTTGCAACTTTTGCGAGCAGCATCTCTTCCAACAGCGGAACAAAATGCTATGGTAAAGTTGACCTACAATCTTGCGCCTAGTTCATTTAGAATTACATTTACAATAATAAGAAATTCAATATTAAAATATTCTAACAGATAATGGCAATTGTGCACTCGAGGCAATCTAGATTTTCATTTGATACTTCATGGCTTGAGGATTTGTATGAACATGTAGTAATAGAAGTGCAAGCCAATAAAGTATTACCATTAATTATAAATCCAGGAAGAGTTTTATTGACAACATCGAGGATCTACTTTCAAGCATACAATAACCTGGATCAGGTACGAAAAGATTTATTTGGATGTCATGATATTCTAAAATTTGTGCATATTGAAAAACTTTCAATATGATGTCTTTTCAATGATTGATAATCTTATTATATGGCCGTTTTTAAAACTCATTGCGAATTGTAGAATAGATTAAATTGTCTGGAAATAATAAGACTATCTAAACGAAGAAACTGGTTAATTTAGTGATCAAAGAAATATGTAATAAAATAATATACAACACAATAGAAAGAGAATACTTCTCACAATAGAAAGAGTATTCTCTTTCTATTGTATTGTATATTATTTTATTTTTATTGTAATTATGTGCTGGACAGAGAGTGCTCAACAATGTATAATTAAGTGAAATGAACAATTTCTTTAATTGATTATGAAATAACACATCAGGAATGGTATATGTTAATTAACGTTTCTTCTTGGTAAATATTCTGAAAATATAATTAAAAAAGTTACATAAATGCAATAGAAAGATGCGAAAATGCAAAAAATGTGAAGATATAAAAGCAAAGAATCTCTTTCAATATCTTGTTGCAGAAAATGTTCTCATTACTGATTTTATACATTATTCTGAATGCAATGGTTTTACTATTAATTCCTTCAAGCATTAATGACAATCCAGTATTATAACCACACTAACATATTAAGAGAATATCCTTGGAGAAAAAACCATAAATTGTTATATTTTTGTGATAAACAATTGCTCTCATTTAGCTCAAATGATTATTCTAATTTCCAGCATCCAGTTCTAAAAGTTCAACTCAAAGACATTAAAAGTATTATTAAAAGAAGGTTTTTATTGCGTCAAGTTGTAAGTATTTACAGGCTTAAATATTATTTTATTAATATTTATTTTACATAATTACTGTATCAACTATATTTTCATAGGGCCTTGAAATTAAATGGGTCAGACAGAATGACTCAAAGACTGAGTATCTGTTTTTGTCAGTAAAAACCCAGGAAGATCGAGATCAACTATATGACAGCTTATTAAAGCAGGTAGAAGTTCACCTAGAAACCATTCCACAAAACCAAATGACAATATTATGGCAGAATGGATCTTTGTCCAATTATGACTACCTCTTGTATATTAATAGGTAATTCAAATGTTTTAGACATGTAATATTTTGTATTATAAAGTTACAGAAATCAATAGATATTTCATTAAACAGTACTAATTATCTCAATGGTTACGATGTAATAGTTTGTTTCCTACTTTCAATGTTAAATCTAAGTGGTAATGGAATATATTTATATTTTAGTTTAGCAGATAGAACTTTCCACGATTTAACTCAATATCCAGTCATACCTTGGATTGTGCAGGATTATACTTCTCAATCATTAGACCTAAATGACCCTGGTGTTTATAGAGATTTAACAAAGCCAATTGGAGCTCTCGAACCAGAAAGGTTAATGAGATTGAAAGTAAGATTTAAGAATACACGTATTGCAATAATTTAGTGATCAAAGAAAAAACAAATAACAATGCTTTTCATTTATCTTATACTTCATTCTACAAAATGTACTAATTTAATTTCTATACAGAAAATGTATAGTTATAAATATAACACTGTAATATCCTTTTCATCTCTTACAATATTTTTAGGAGCGTTATGAAGAAATGTCACACCCAAAATTCCTGTATGGATCACATTACAGTGCTCCAGGGTTCGTTCTATTCTATTTGGTACGAAAATATCCGCAATATATGCTTTGTCTTCAGAATGGTAGATTTGATCATCCAGACAGAATGTTTAACAGGTATGTGTAGTAAAGATTCTAAAATAACTTTAGTTCAGCCATTTAGAAACATCATAATAGTCATAATGAATTAGAGCCTGTGACTTGTAGCATTATTTTCCTGACTTAAAAACTACTTAATTGCTTAGTCAATTTTACAGAACCGCTTTTGTCTCTCAATCTTAACATGAAAAACCTAACAGTGTAGCTGACGTGTGGAAAAATGTATTGGGGAATATGTCTGACTTTAAAGAACTGATCCCAGAATTTTACGACCCAACCAACAACGGTGATTTTTTAGTGAATAGTTTCGGAATAGATTTTGGTTATCGCCACGATGGCAGTAAAATCGGAGATGTTCAGCTACCTCCTTGGGCAAAAGGTAACATACTGTGATATGTATAACTTTTCAAATGAATCAAAAGATCTGCATTTTATTTGCTAATCTATTAAGATTTCTTATAATATGTTTTTAATAAAAAAAATATATATATCAGGTCCATCTGATTTTGTACAGCAACTGAGAAATGCTTTAGAGAGCGAGTGTATATCTCAAACTCTTCATTATTGGATCGATTTAATTTTTGGCTATAAGCAAAGGGGAGTAGAAGCAGAAAAAGCTGATAACGGTGTGTAGAAACAGCAACGCTTCACCATAATATTTAATTGGGTCTGAAAATAATTAATATAATTTCAACATGAATTTTAGTATTCTTTCACTTGTGTTATGAGGGAGCAGTTGATTTAGACACTATTCGAGACATTAATGATCGACACGGCATGGAGGTTCAAATAATGGAGTTTGGACAAATACCAAAACAAGTTTTCAATTTACCACATCCAAAACGTTTGGACCCTGTAGCAAAAATGATTAATTCTGAATCCTTTATTGCATCATGTTGTGGTGAGTGTATACTTTGGTATGAAATTATATACAAATGATTAAAAGATTGATGCTGAATTTTTTGTTGAGAAGTTGAAGATATGACGAAATTCTAACAATAAATTAAAATTAACAAGCATTGTTTTGTAAGAAAATGCTTTTCAAAATTGTGTCACATGATATATATTTTATAAAATTATAGCTTTATTATTCCGTTATCAAATAAATCTTCATAATTTCATATTGGCAATGGTATTGAATAAATGCACACTCCATTTTGTTTACAACTATAAGAAAATATTTCAGATATTTGCACTAAGTGAATCATTCTGCGTTTATTAGCTATATATCTTTTTCAGGACAAGAATGTATAACAAACAAGTCAATAGTGTTACGCGAGGTTATGACGTTTCAATCTCATAAGGATGGTATTTCTAGTGTTACCATCACAAACGAGTGTAGAGGAGATGAAGTAATATCTGTGGGACATGATGGAACACTTAAATTATATTCTATGAAAAGTGGAAAATTAACCCGCAGTGTGACGTTATCATCGCTGCCTTTATCATCTTGCATATCATATGAAACTTCGTTTTGTCATAACGTCCTAGTTGCTGGTTCATGGGATAATACATTGTAAGTAAACAATTACCGTTTTTATTGTAATTTAAAGAATTCAGTAGGATATTGAAACAATATTTTTTCTTTTCCATAAATTTATTGTATGAATTTTTAACACTGAAGTCATTAACAATAAGAGAAAAAACAAGATACTTTTTGTTCATTTTAATTGGAACTAAGTTACACATAAGTATACTGTACCCTAGCGAACGTGAAAGTTTTGCCCTGATTTGCCCTGTGGCTGTAGTACTATCGGCGTAAGAAGAGAAAGTTTTCATGTCAGTGCTTCTGTACAATCCTATACACAATCTAATTACTATTGATATTTCATACAGAATTCTAATTTGTAGAAACTCTAACAAACGTTTTTGATTCTAGAATCTTTTACGATATTGAATTTGGGAAGGTTATAGATATTTTACTTGGTCACGAAGATGCGGTTTCTTGCTTAATATGGTGCCCAACACGTAACGTTTTAATATCTGGATCTTGGGATTGTACTGCAAAAGTATGGCAAAAATATGCACCTGGCAAAAAAATTAAACCAGCAGAATATCTTATTGCTCAACTAGATCATGATTCTAAAGTGACGTGTATTAGTGTGTCAAGGTAATCATTTCTTAAGTGCTTTCTACACTGTATGTTTTCTAAATATTTTATTGTTTTTTATTCTATACAAATGATTATATAGGGTTCAACAGAAATGGTGGACACGGTTTATACAACCCTATCCCAGTCGAAAAGTCTTGTACTATTTTTCCTACAGTAAATAATTTTCCTGTAATAACTAGATGAAGTACAGCCAATCAATCACGTTACGTTGGGGATGCTTCAGTGCTTCAATTAATTATTACAGGAAAATTATGCACTGTAGGAAGAAATAGTATAAGACTTTTCGATTCCATTTTCAACAAGGATAGCGCTGTATAAACCGTGTTACTTCTGTCATACCCTGTTTACATTGGTATGCATGAATGCCATCCCATCACACACTGGCAGCACAATATCTGTAAGGAAGGCATTCATGTCCGCCAGTGTACAAAACACATAATTTTAAACATATTTTTAAAATTCTAACAGTGACGAAAGCCTTTTAGTATCTGGGACCGAGGAAGGAGAACTATTTTTATGGAAAATGGATACATATAGCTTACAGTTCACTGTTAAAGGTCAGTACAACACTCTTGGAACTTCCTTGGAATTCATATTTTATGCTTTCTTTTTAACCATTACTTGGGAAAAGGAATTTTTGCAATGAAAAGACACAAGTAATTTTGTTATTAATAACAATTATGTTTAATTGTACAACAGTTCAATTTTCTGTCTCTTTACTTTCTTCCTACCAGCATTATTAAATTTCTGTGTCGAGATTACATCTAGTTTAACTATTTCTCACATTAACTTTTTAATTTAATATATGACATGGGGCTTCTTTCATTTACAAGGCATAATTTTTGGTGCTTCTTTTAAAGGACATACAGCAAAGGTTTGCGCAATGACGTTTCATCCTGAATCCAAAAATATAATTTCCTGTGCCGATGACAAGATTTTGAGTGTTGTCGATGTTCAGACGAGTACACAAATATTTCATACTACTTTAGAAGCTGAAGCAAGGTCACTGACATGGTTTGAATCTTTACTACTAATTGGAGACGTTCAAGGGAATCTTAATGTATGGAATTCTCAAGATGCCGTTTTTCTGTCCAAATTACATTGTCATAGTGGTAAAACCTACATTCATTTAAATTTTGCTTATACATAAGAGATGTATAGTGAAATTTAGAAAAATGAAATTAACGTTTCAGGTTCTCTGACAGCTATAACGGTTACAATCGACAATACAAAAATAATTACAGGTGGCAAAGACCGAAAAGTTATTGTATGGGAATTGTCCTAAGCAGTAAAACAAATTCATTAGTGATTCAGCAATAAATTATGAACGCTAATGCCGATCTTAAGATAGAACACCAATTAGGTAAAATAATTTAGAATATATGTTACAATGAATATAACCAAAACAGAAAGATGAATTTAAAGGGAACTTAAATTATATCACCGGTACATTACAATCGAAAATATACTGAAACTAGAATATATAATGACGAAAGAATATGTAATGATTGCTAGAATGCGAATTATTTTTCAATAAATAAATAATATAATATAGATATAATTAAATTAATATATAAAAATGTAATTATCTTCTAGTTTCATTTGACTACATCGTTTCTTTTCTGAAAATATTAATTTAAAAGTCTGACCAGATATCTGAATTTCAACAGCATTGTTTCATCACATGTGGTTAACATTACTTTTAAACAGGGAATAAGGACTGCCTAGATTTTAATACTGACCAGACATGATATCTAATGCTTTAAAGTCACATTCCATCTAGTCGCTTTAATTTAGATAATTAAATTCTTAATCTATATCGCATTGTTTAATTTTGGTGATCATTTAATAAATACATATATTTGTCAATAAAAATGAAAAAAAACAAACGCTTACTGTCAGGTACATGGTTCCTATAGATTTGTATACTGCAATGAGAAATCTGTAACATTAAATAGAATTCAAAAGAACTCCTAAATTAATTATATCTTTGTAATGTTAATTTCATTAAGCATTGAACAAAGGTCTTGAAATGTTGGCAATTATGTTTACTAAATTTATACGTAATTTTGATACCAACTTATTTACTACTAAAAACTAAGTTGCTTTAATTGTTCGTATGTAATAAAGAATATAATATTCCAAGGACCCATTCGAAACCATGTTGGTATAAATCCTTTATATAACGCTAAGAATCCTTCGTTCTTGATCGTCTGTAAACATAAAAAAACCATGTCGATTTACGATTCAAATGTATTCAATCATTTAATTGTCTTAGTCTTTATGGCCTATTTACCCGAACAAAACAATCTATGCTACCAGAATAAATATGCGGTGGTGGAGGTCCACGACTTTTGTATACCCTTTTCTGATTCATTAAACGAGTCTGAAACAAAATTGAAATCTCTTAAATACATTATATTTTATAAAGAAGGTACAAGTAATATGAACAATTGCCACATATTCATAGTTATCTTTCTACAATTAAAAAAGTCTTGCCATTTAACCCTTTACATTCAGTTGTCCCTTTGAGGGGACATCGTAAGTCTAGATGGATAGGCGCTGAGTGCAAAGGATTAAAAATAATATAAATTCTCCACTTACACGAATGACATCTATAGGAGTAGAAGCCACTGCACTTCCCATACTAGCTATGAAACTAGATCTAAAATGTAAGAATGTTGATTAAGAGGAAAACACTTAATCTAGGGTAAATAGGATATATCAGGTAAATTATAAACAAAACATGATGTCCAGTTTATATGTCAAAACTTATAAAAATACTTACAAAAAATGATTACTGACACTATTTCCAAGAACATTAGTAAGTTTTAGCTTGCTAAAATCATATATTGGCAATTCTACAGCTGCAATAATAGCTGCTCGTTGAGCAGTAGGTCCAACACCCTATATAAAAGTGGGGAAACATATTTAAGACATTTAAGACATTGAATACATTGTACATCGTACTTGTTATAGCATTCTATCCCTTTGGTGCACAAGTCATTAATCAATACATTTTTATCAAAGAAATGAGCTTTTACCTTAACTGAACTCTGAATAACATTAAAAATATATTTCAATTAATAGAAAAAATTAATTTTACCCTCCATAAACCACGAACACCTTCATGTTGATATACTTCTTGAAAACAATTGAATACAGACAGATTTGTCAATCCACCAGTAACTTGCATACGAACTTTCACAACATCTGTTGGATTAGCGATTGCACTGGATATAGCACCAGTTACAGCTGCACATACAATATTTATTATCACAATATCATCAGTTCCCCATTTTTCAGTGACTGTTTGTTTAAGAGAATAATATGTTCCAAACTTTATCGTTCCATATGTTGCTTGTCTCAAGATTGCTGAACTGATCCTATTATAAACAATAAAGGAAGTATTTTTGTTCAATAGTTCAGACATTTAATACATGATAATGCCTTAATAATCGTGCATACTAACCCAGAATATAAGGCTTTAAATCCTTCTTGTTTTGAAATCTGCAATATAGCATCAGTCATACCAGTGTACTTTAAAGATGCATGTTTTTTATCCAGCTTTTGTCCTTGAATTTGTAATCGAGTTTTTGTTGTATCTAATGGAAATGTTCCTAAAATAATACAAATTCATCACATTTAAAACATAATTATTTAAACATTATTGTTAAATTGTTACAGGTCAGATTTATTGTTAGATTATTATATATGGTTATCCTCTTTAATAACAATTCCAAAAAGTGCTTCCATGTGATTTACTAATATGCATATCATTTTATATTTCTTTTAACTTTATAATAGAAATCAAATAGAAAATTGTATGGTATTTTATAAATGTTACTAATAATAAAACTTACCTAATTCTGCAACAATGGATGCTACACCTCCATATATAAAAGGTCTCCAATCTTTCCAAGGACTCTCTCCCATTACCAATAATACTTTCTAAACATAAAAATCTTTCATGAGAAAAAAACAATATCGATTTCCTCTTAAAAGCAGTACATGCAGTTATCATGTCTTACAATGATAAAACAAATGAAAGCATAGCCCTAATGAAAATCTAATTGAAGATACAAGTAGAAAATATATTATATTAGTGATTACATCTTTCACCATTAGCTGACATCATTACAATCTTAACAGAGATAATGTTCAAACACGTGTGCCCTAAATTTTGTTACAGGGGGTGCTTTCATTGCTAACATTTAGAGTAAGAAAATAAAAGATTTCATACCTTCAAATGATTAACAATTTTAATTTGTAGCAGTATCAAATTTTCAGCTAAAACAGAATGGGATTAAAATACTAGAAATACCGTTTACCGGTAACAGTAAACAGACATTTTTAAGTAAAGAATAAAATATATTAAATCATCTGAAGAAGACTTACAATCGCTTTACACGAAGCAATGACAGAGTGGGAGATTGCTTATGGATCAATTAATTTCCTTGGATCTTGTGCTGCCTTCATCCGGATTTTTCCTGACGGCTTGTACACTTTATATGGCACCATATACCAGAGATGAGTTGGGAGACTGCTTACGGACAGAGTCGCGTGATCGCATCCTGTGCTGTCCTCTGATTTCATACGTTATCTTTCATCGTTTTTTGCCCCCAAGGGCGGCGCAATGAATTTCTGGTAGGGGCTCGCGCACTCGCGATGGCGGTGCCATCTACTAGTCGCCGTTGGCGGCTCACGTACTCGTGATGGTAATACCATGCGGCAGTTGACGGTGGTGGCTTACCTACGCTTACCGACACTACTCGTTTTTGATCGTAAGGGAAGAAAACTCGTGGCGCTTTCTTTGACTTTACCCTTCACTTACCTTATTTATTTTATCCCCAAATGGGGGGCAAAAAACGGTGAAAGCTGACGTACGAAACCAGTGAGCAGCACAGCATGCGATCGCGCAACCCTGCCCGTGAGCAATCTCCCAATTCATCTCAGCATATATCATAGTCTTAGGCTGATATTTCATTAGAGCTACAGCGGCAAGCGACGGAGCAATAAATCGTGAATAATAACGGTTTCAGCTGGGCTACACTTTTTGCACAAGGGGGTCTATTCCGTAAAACAAATTGAGCGAAAATGTGAAAAATGAGCAGCTGACAGTATCACGGAACGTTTTTGGTTGTGAAAATGCGAGACTATTCATGTGAACAGGCTCGACAGAAATTTTGTTGAAATATTCTACACCTTTCTCGGCAAAAATAAATAAGCAGCTTATACTTTACAACCGCTACCCCGTAAACGAAAATATTCCTTGAATTTTCTATTACATTATGAACCAGTACGGAAACTTGCCAACTTCAAGCTGATTCGAAAAAGAAAGCAATTCAATGTATTTACTGCAGAATCGAGGAATAATTAATAAAATCCATTTTGAGAATATTTTAAGCACGTCCGAACTTACAAATGTATATACTGAATACTCATGGCATATTTAAAATGTCCAGAACCTATTGAAAAATTAAAAAAGGGTCCAGATATAATAGTGTTATCTGAGAACCAATCGAAATCAACTACACGTAAGTTCATTTGTGGACTCCCCCCTCCGCTTGTCGATTTCCAAGCCTATCTTGTCGTATTCGGCGTTAAAACTTGAGATAGGTTAAAAACCAGGTAACTAAAGTGGGTGGTCCAGTGAGGAAGAGGGGAGAGGGGGTTAGAGAACCTTGTTAGTAACCGACTAGGACCCTCACTGGTGTGTTTCCAATCATTGCCCGGCCGTCGAAGAGCGTTTTTAGACGGGATGAAGTGATTGTCACAATTACGGTTCTTTTTTTTTCCCCAATTCGGTTGTACTCAATCGGAGCGTATCGACCCAGGCATGCGATGTCTCGTATCATTCGGACGGACCGCTGAAATGAGCTGAAATGGCCCGTAGGTTTCGATTGCTCGGTAGATGGCCGGTTCGACCGTGATCCGCGCAGGGTGGCGGCCAGTGGCGGCCCAGCCGACGCTGTGGCGTGGCCGAGGCCCGAACTACAAAACCCGTTGAAACCCATGGTACACCTGTCGAACGTTGCCGGAATTTTCGCGATCCAGTACATACATGATGAAATTCCACAAGTTGAATAGCCAATGCATGCAAGTTCTATTATTATAAGGCCCGGTTCCACAACTCAAGTTAACCAGAGTTTAATTGGTTTCCACCGGTTTAAACCAAGTGTAAACCAGTTAAACTTCGGTTTATTCAAGTTGCGGATCCGGACCCAAATTGTACATTTGTCATTAAATCCATTTCACTAAACCGTGAAAAACATTCTTCATTGTCAATACTGAAGATCATTTCTAACGAATTGATAATAATTGTGTTTTTTTTTCCATAGCGTAGTTGATGCAGCTGACGAAACATACGCCGCATGTTAAGCTTATTATATACCGTGAGGTGCTATTGTATGTGCCACTCCCACCAAGCTTACCAAGAGACCATGCTGTCCTTTTCTAATGTAGCTTACCTATAAGTGAGACAAAGTAACTCCGATCTAGGACCGAAGCACCCAGTCTCTTGGATACCCCCCACCACACCCTTCGTGCGATCCGATTGGTCGGCCTCGAAAATAAACCGCCGTTATTTCGTGTCCAATCGAGAGCCCGTCTCCTCTCCCTATTCCCGTTACGTGCTACAAGGGCATGGAAGCCATTTTATGTGAACAACTCGTTTCGCGTAAGCAGTAGTGCGTGTGCAATTTTGTGAAGAATTGGCGGTCGTGTGCATCGTGAGATGTTCCTTTCCTTCAGGATGATTCGATTAGGTGAGTTTTCACTCCTACGAGTACTATTTTACAACTTTCGTTGTTTTATACGGGACTCGATATACGTGACTCACTTGAATGGTCGGGCGTTTGGGAAATCCAGCTGCGTGGTAGCTTCTGACTACGTTTTATATTTGGACTCGTTTCTGGAGCAACGGTGCTACGCTATACGCGCTAACAAGTTGCCAGATTCGTCAAACAAGTTGGTACGATTTTCGAGCGTAGAAATAAGTTTATATTGTGTTGAGTCGAAATCAGGCTTTGCTCTCATCTGGATTTTTCACAGTATTATATAAATACTGGAATGGCCAGTCTTTGGCCAGACTTTGGCCAGTAATTCTACCACGTATACTTAGTAATCGTTTTGCCATGATAAATGAACTAAATGAATATGTATATCGATTTTCCTTCATGGAGGAAATAATGACTAACTTTGGCACCCTACTTTTGGGTTATCGGAGAAAATTTGTTCAATCTGTATGATATTCCTGTTCATAGTAGTATATGGCGAAATTTCGGAAACCTTTGAATTGATGTTGGTTGAGTGTTAAATGTTTACAGCTTTAGGATTATATCTAAACCTGGAGTTTAAAGTCATGTAATCATAAATGCAATGTATAGATATTAAAGAGTTACGGATAGGTCTGGAACGATACTTGTTGAAAGTTATTAAATAGTTGCTTCAGTGAATTTAATAAGTTGCTTATAAATAAACTGATGAATAAAAATGATCTTTACATTATGTTATGATTTTTGTATATTTATCTTTTATTTTTAGAACATACTGTATGTACGCACATACATTCGTTGTATATGAAAAGCTGCAAGAGTCACAAATTAAACAAATACAACCATTGAGTAACCAAGGAGATCATTGCATTTGAAGAAACTCATTTTTTTAAAATTGTTTCGTATGTACTTTTGAACAAGTGTACTTAGATTTCATTGCATTAAAAAAAAAAAACAAAAAACAAGCAATATGATCTTTACATACAAAACTACATAATTTGTAGTGATGGAATTTTAAACAGCTTTTCATCTATTAAATCATATATATTTGGGTTAAAGAAATAATTTTAAATTAAGATGGAAACATACTTACCGAATTGTATGTCCTTAATATCACAAACTTTATCGGATATCAAAATGTAGCCTGTGAAATGCCTAACATTCCATTTTTAAATGCCACTAATGAATACGTTTTAAAATTTAATTTTAATACTAATTAATCGTCTCAAATAATGACTAATCTTTAAAAATTTTACAAAGGAGTCTTACATTTTTCTAGTATGATGCCTCAGTAATGAAATCATTGAAATTTAAAACCTCATGATTAATGTGTATTAAAACCAAAAGAATGAGCATAACATTTTTTATAAGTGAAAATGATATTCTTGTATAAATATAAATGCATAATAAAAACATGTTATCAATATTTATCTTTTGTCCATAGTGTAAAGTTGCAGAGGCATCGACTTGGAGGTATCCTGCTGTTATTTCTACCAACAACAAATAAACATGACGTCTGCAAAATCAAAAGAAATAGCAGATGAGTACATCTCGTCGCTATCGGATCTGACGATTAACAGTAAACCGCTGATAAACATGCTTACCATGTTGGCCGAGGACAACGTTGAACATGCTCCTGCAATTGTTCAAGCCGTCGAGTCGCACCTGCAAAAGGTTACCTATCCTTAGTAATTTATATTAAAGAGAAAAAGTGTTTGAAAACGTTTATCACCAGTCATTAATGTAGTAAAGTCAACTTCTGAAATATAAGAATCCTGATAAACCAGTGGTTACGATACAACCATTTTATCAGTAACAAGAGTAAAATTCTTTATAGATAGATTTGAGAATTATTTGTTAGAAAAACTTTTTTTTTTTTTTCAAATAAATTTCCTCATTACACATAATGTAAAAGCTGAAAACTTGATGGTAGCTGTTATCATGCTTGCTTGAGTGTGTGAACGATTTATGAGCATCGATTTACTAGATATATGACCATACTTTGTTGAGCAAAAGGCGATGTCATTTAGTACACTCTATTATGATTATTTTCACTGTTTTACAAAGAATTAATGTATTGAGACTGACTTTAAGAAAACATTTGTTCATGCAGCATAAGGATAAAGTGAATCTTTAGTATTGAGTAATTCATAAATTATTTCAGTTCCCCGAATTTTATGTAGCTTGATTTTCTAATCATTATTTACCTGAAATATTTCCTCAAAGTAAAGTATCTGGTGAATTATCTACTGGAGTATCAACTACTTTTTCTTGGGGGCCAACAGAAATCCTTTCTATAGTAATAAATTGTAGAATTAATATTTTAGAACGTCTCATATTTGCTACTCTCACTGAAAGCGTTTTCAACCTAAACTCGTGCGCGCACACCGTGAAGTCGCTTTATTTGGTACCACTTATGACGCACAAGTGTGTTGGTATTACCACACCTGTTAACCGATTGTAAAATGTATGTCATAGAAGTGATGCGTCCAGCGAACGAAACATGCGACATTATCAAATACTTTGCAAATCATTCCGTTGATGGCAAATAAAATCAAAAGCTATGTCTGTGATCGTACTCAGTATTATGAATATATATATAATGATGTGGAAATAAAGTCTTGTTTTTCTAAATGAACATCCACGCCACTATAATTTGTTTTTAAACATTCTTTCTGTCATCTTATTAAGCCTACTATTTTAATGTGTCACTTTAGTGTATAGGGCATTGCTTTTTAACTGGTAATACCTGAAAATATAATTGTCATTGGGTTATGCAGCAGTTTTTATGCTCCTGGTTACATTGATCAAATTCAAACACATGTTGAATAACGTTTTATTATTTATTAGAAAGTGATTCTTTATTAACACATTGATGATAATTATTAAATTTCACAATTTTTGTCATTGAGTTGAATGTACATTTACATAAATTGATGTCACTTTATATGATATATCTATTTATCAAAGATTCTGATATAACTTACAATTATTTTCCACATTAGTGATAATTCTTATGCTAATGTAAGTAATGATCCACGTGTCTATTTTCTTTTAATTTATTTTCATCCCGAAACAGTTTCAGTATTCAATATTAATTCAATTATAATTATTCAGTATTCAGTATTTTAATTCGTATATAAATTTTAGCTTTTTCAAATCACAGTATTTCAATGTTTCAGTCTTAAGCATACAAAAAGGCATACATAACTCAATTACGAGGCAACTATGATAATTGTATTTGAGTGGCAATAGTATTTAAATCGAACTTTGTACATTGAAATATATTGTCGTTATTCGACACTGTTTCAACGTAACCCTTTGTAGGCTTTATTGAAGGTTCTAGAACTTAAGGACTCGCGAATGTGCATCGAGTGTATTAATTATATAAATGGATGTAATGTTGCGGAGATCCATTCAAGAAACTCTGGATCCTCCACGACTGGTGTTCTAACTGGAGATAGCTAGTACATTAAACCAAAATGGATCAGACGTTTCGAATAGTGGGAAAGTGTGTTATTGTGTTTTATTAGGTGAGAAGCGACATCAAGCTACCAGTTCTTTACCTCATTGACTCGATCGTCAAAAACGTCAATGGAGCCTATCTTAATCTCTTCACCCAAAACATTGTCAATACGTTTTGTGGTGTCTTTGAAAAGGTAATATAATATTTTTTACTTAACTATTTTCTGGCTTCGTAAAAAATTACTGGCCAAAATTCATTATCGTAGAGTTACTTTACAAGAGCATTTATTACATATGCTATATTGCTTGCTTGCAAATCAATATTTCTTAAATTAGTAATATCGTGTAAGGCTGTAAGATGGTAAGATAATCACTTCACCAATATGAGTTCAGTGACATCACTTTTAAACAATGCATTAAGTTATACGGTAGCGAGGGGGGTTCATATTTTTTATAAGTGAAAATGATATTCTTGTATAAATATNAATAAGGCTTTTTAGTAAACAGATACCTCATATGCATACACGTGGAAAGTTGAAATAACACACATTCTGATATTTTTTAACTTTTATTTAGAAATCGCTAATTAAGTAACGTGAGTGTTTATTCATCTTGTTTTTTTTTTCTTCTATTACGAAAAAATTCACCCACAAATTATAAATCACCATTCGAAGTGTCTTTTTTCTAAGCTGGGGATTTGGTTATTTGAAGTTCATTCGGATATAATTAAAAATAATTTTATTTTAAAGATAATATTGTTAATAGACTCTGGATATTAATTTCTTCTATGTGTGAATTTTCTTTTGGAAACTACAATTCATCTGTGACATTTAATTTTTGTGTTTTGTTTCCTGATGTTGTACATGATTCTTATTTTCGAGCCTTGAAGTACCGTATGATCCATGTCCATATGAACCATATTGACGAGGTGATTTTAACAATTGTATCCTTTTGAGCACTTAATACAATGATTATATGAGTGTTGTACGAATAACAGGTAGATGAGAATACGAGGGCTAGTATGTGGAAGTTGCGGCAGACATGGAACGACGTTTTCCCTGCGAAGAAGCTGTATTCTCTAGATGTTCGAGTACAGTGCATTGACCCTGCGTGGCCTATCACTGCTTCCCCTACAGCAATTTCCTCGGGCTCCATTCACGTTAATCCCCGATTTTTATCAATGGTAAGACCGAAGCAACGAAGAGTTACTTCCACCTATAATTGTATTTTTAAGCGTTACCGGAAAAATTTGCCGAGGCTGCCCATGTAACATTTGTATGATTTACCGTAGCCTCAACCTTCAACGACATCCATCGTACAACCGATCGTTCAACCGATCGTACAGCCGATCGTACAACCGATCGTACCTGCTGTTAAAATACCACCCGGCGACCCCGTGTCGACGACTGAGGCGGCTATGAGGGAACAGCTTCTGAAGAAACAACGGGAACTGTTGGAACTGCAGAAGAAAAAAATCGAATTAGAGCTGATGCAGGCGAAGGCTAGTCTGGAGCAACAACAAAGGCAATTAGACAAACAGACTGGACATTTGAAGCCTGATCTGGTATGTTGAACAGATATACTCTTATTTTCGTTTATATTACTATCTAACGATATTATTATCAGAGACTCACGTTTCGTCGATACTTGCTTTGTCTGCAGCCCGTGACCACGGCACAGGTTGTTCCAACAACGGAAACAACTACTCAAGCGAAACCTGTCGCACCTGTTGTGCCTAGCCAAGCCACGAAGCAGGTCACTAAACAGGTAAATATGTTTAATATGTTGAATGTTTTATTGGTTCATGAAGGTCAATTCAAGCTAGGAGATTGAAAAGCCGATTGATTCGCGTTACGGACACCAAGCAATGGCTTCTAATTGTAATCAAATTTTATTCCTTTCTTAAACGTTGATGGAATTTCCTGATTTAACTCGAGTTCTGAGGGATAGTGGGGCGCAAGAACTAGATTATGCTTTTCGGATTGTTATTTCTTTTGAATTATTTTGAGACATTTAAAGATTTAAACCACTTTTATCGGGGTACTCTTTCCTGAAAGATATAATCGGAAAACCTTTCACGTTTCGGGGGAACCAATACCTTTCAAGGTGTTTATCCAATTTTAGTTAGACATACAATAAGTTGAGTACTCGATAGAATGAATGCAGATGAAAGATACAATTTAAATGCTAATTGTTTGATTCAATTTTCAACCGTTGTAGGAATGTAACCGATTATTAACAGTTATATAATTATTTTGCTGTTTTTAAGGCAGAATACCTGATTTTTTTTTCTTTCAACTGTTGTAATAATGCAACCGTGCATTTTTGGACGTGTCTACTGTATTAAATGGGAGCGAATTGATTTTAAAGCATTAACCGGAGTTTCTGAACGTGCGCTTTCACATGAATACAAAGGTTTTAGCCGAAATATGAAAAAAAAACTAGGAATCTTGCAAAATTTGGGGTGTTTTTATAAATATGAAAGCAGCGTAGCTGGACCTATTTGTTTCTTAACATATGTTCTAAAGAGGTACTTTCCTTATCAATTATTCCACTTCTGTGATCTATATCCTGCTGTTATATCCCTATTTCTGGAGGGGAGAAAAAGAAATTGAACTACGGGACATAAGCCTATTCTAGGAAAGTTTTAAATTAAAAAGAATCAATATCTAAAAAATTGTATTATCATTAATGACTTAAGAATCAATAGGCGTACTTTCAAATCAAGCAGCATATAGTCATAGAAACATGACCAATGTAATCATTGCTTATTTCATAGTTCCATGGACAGTTTATCGTTAAACACTTTGAAAAGTATCGGCCCCTAGATTCTTGACAACGGTTTTCGATTAATATCTCATTGCTTATTTCATAGTTCCATGGACAGTTTATCGTTAAACACTTTGAAAAGTATCGGCCCCTAGATTCTTGACAACGGTTTTCGATTAATATTTGCCACGAGAACTATGACGATAATGAGAACGCACGTTATTCGAGAAAAAGCTGCTCTTTCGTGTCACTTTCGCCAAATGAAAAGCTTTCGTCGATTTCAGTTCCCAGCAGCGACCGCCTCGTTCATGAAAAACGCAGGGACCAGCAATGGTCCGCGAATCGCTCCGGCTAGTAGTATAGCGGTGGCATCGGCTAAGCCCGTGTCTCGTGATCCACGATTGAAGTCAACAGCTCCAGCGATAGAGCCAGCGGTCGCTCACACGGATCCTCGGCTACGTCAGGCCACGACCGGACAAAAGGATTCCCGGCCGGACGGCCAAACGCAACCAGCTCCAGACACAAACACTGTACTTTCAGACCAATTAAAACAGCAGTTAATATCGAAACAGGCTGTGACTAGCACTATCGACAAGCCTTCGTCAAATCTCGCCAGCTCCGATACCTCGACGACAAGCGCTAGTAGTAACGGTAACAATGCGAATCTCCTGACCAACAGCAGTAGCGCGAACAATAGTAAGAGTTTGAGCGGTAGCGCGAGTAAGGAACCCGCCTTGCATCGAACGAGCCAAAAGAAGGACTCTAGGTCGACTAGCGGTAGTAGCGCCAATCCGACCGGTAGTAGTTCGAAAGCCGGGCAAAACGAGTCGACCGGGAGCAACAGCTCGTCGGCGCTCTCGGGAAGCAACCGAGGAGGTGGAGGAAACGAGACCAAGTCGAAAGACTCGAAAAGCTCGAACTCTAGGAGCTCTTCGACCGGCGACAAGTCTTCTTCCACTTCCTCCAAGTTCTCGCATAGGAAGGTAGGAAACAAATCGCGATCGAAGCAGCCTCTGACCTCGCCGAGTAAGGTGGCCAAAGTCGACAGAAACGGCAGTCCGGTTAGGTCGAAATCACGCGAGAAAGACAGTGGTGACCGAGACGTTTCACCCTCCCGCACCTCTCCCCAGTCCCAACTCTCCAAGAACCGAAAGAAGAACTCCAAGTCTAGGAAGCGCAGTTTAAGCCCCCCGTACAGAATCCCCAGACGAAACGACACCAAGTCTAGCCTCGGTATCAACTCCGGAGGAGTTACCGAGGAGGAGCAGTCAGGTTCGTTGATAGTGTCCCCTCCTCATCCGCCTGCGTTCAAGGAGATCAGACCTAACGCAAGGCAGAGGAACTACGTCAGGCGGAATAAGGACGGCAGTCTCAGTCCGGAACACTCCGCGCCTTCCACTGGCAGTGCTCAGAGTGTATCCGAGGCCATTTTGGAGTCAGCCAGCAAGGACGAAGATCTCAGGGCGGCTCTGCCTCTTCCCAGCGCGCCGACGACCGTCAGCTTGTCTGAGAAAAGTGAGTCGATCAGTCTAACTCCTCCAAACTCTGTACATGACGGTAGAGTTACGTACCGCATGCACCAATTTATTATCCTGCGTATGCTCTTCCTACCCTGTTCACCGATACCGGCGTAGACGTTTAACTAACTATTACGGATTCTAACTAATATTTGCGTCCACGCGGTCGTTTAGTTTACTCCCGTGCTGAAGTTCGGTAGATGTCGACCAGAGACTCGGGATATCACTTCGTTCTGGAATAAAATCGATACTATGTTAATTGCGCCAGTTTAGACCTTGTAATGATAGAAAATGGTTCCATTTTACACTTCGGTATGAAATAATTTGTTTCGGGTCTCTGCTGGTTTCCGTTGATTAAACATTGTTAATCGAGTCAAGAAGCTTCAGAAAATATGTATCGGTTGATTTTTGCATAATGTCAACTTGGAAACAATTGATTCATTGCTTTTGATGTGATCACCGATTATTTTTAAGGAAAGGAAATAGGTTGTAAGAAACTATTTGTTATTGTAAATATTTGAAATCTGTTATTTAAACCTAATTACATGTTGAATGTTGAAATAGTTTGATCAGTTAATGCTTTTCTATGCTGACAAACAAAAGGTGACTAAGTAATGGCTTTCAAATTAATTCAGTTAAAAATAATTTTGTTTCGTGTAATGTTTAATCCACTACGGTTACTATTTAACTCACTCCGAATCGATTACTAATTTAATAACCATTAATTACGTTCAAAATACAATTCGATAAGTTTGATACGGTAATCAATTATAAAGATAATGAATTCTCCTTTGTTTTACACTCTTACGGACGTATATTATGGAAATTATATGATATCTTAATTTCGCAATCAAAAGTTAATGTAATGGTAAATAAGTACTTGGACAATTGAACAGGGTACCTTACAGTTAATTGTTTTCTACGCTTCAATTCAATGCAATCTGTAAGTAATTATTGCCATTTCAAAAACATCTGAACTAATTATTACCACAACTGAAAAAAAAAACAGAAGAGTATATTGCTAATGAATTAATTTGTTATTAATTGATGTTTGATCCAAAAGAAAGGTTTCGATAGCTTGACAAACCTAACAAATTACTTAAAATGCTTTTAACAAAAAACCTCCAATTTGAACTCTTGGGATTATACAATATAAAAAACAGAATGTTGAAATATACTTTCTAAATAATTTAATACTTTACAAATTCCCTTTTTCTCATAATTCTTATAAAGTAATACTTTAAGATTGTTATATACTACTTTATGTAAAAGGATCTTTAATAGAGTAATGAGTTTCATTATTGTTATTTTATGCCTTTGGAATTATTGTTCGTATGATATGTTAAAAAGCACAATACTAATTGCATATACATTTCTTACATAAATCCTTTTCTATTTATCACGTACTAGTAATTTTCTTAATTCTTGATATAAAACGATCGCAAAAAACGAATAAGTAAAATGAAATGGATATCATATAATTTCTATGTTCTTGATCATACAAGTAGAAATACTGTAATTGTGCAGATCAATTTAGCATAAGTAAAATGTAACATTCTATAACTAATTTCTTTACAGAAGAGGATTTAGACTTACGGGTTTTACCAGCTGTTAGCAGCAGCAAAAGGCAAAGTACCGAGCACATTGAACCTCCTGTTGTCAAGAAATCTAAGGCTGAAAAATTCGACGCGTAAGTGTGCAGATACGTCGCCTAACATTCGCATAACATTCACATAAGATTAAACTGATCATACTAGAGAAGTAACCGATGAAAGGTACTATTAAATCTATTCCGACTTACAGCCTTTTTGGGAACGAGGACGTCGACTTGCGAACTTTGACTCATCCAAAAGCTGGTCGTCCACCTACACCGCCTCCACCTGTTATATCCGGTGAAGACAACAAAGATGGCTGGGCCAAGCTGAAAACTCCTTCTAAAAGTGACAAAGAGAAACAAGCAGGCAATGGGGATGAGAAACGGGAGAGAGACCGAAATAGAGATCGACTTGGCAGACCTAGACTATACAGCAAATTGCCGGATGATCCAAAGGAGCGTCGAAGGACATTGTCTAATGATGATCAAGAGCCACGTTTGGGTCGCCGCGGGAGAGAAGCCGACAAGCCTGAAAGAAATGCTGACAGAAATATCGAAATAATCATGAAACAAGCCGCTGAGCAATTAAATCAAGGATCGATCACAAAAACGCAATACAACACCCTCATACAAGAGGTCTTGCACATGAGCGAAGACCAGAAATTGAGAGCTGCTCAACGAAAGGAAAAGGAGGCAGGCTCTATCGTGTGGGAGAAGGGAGTAAAACTCGACGTAAATATAGTGGACAGATCGTCGTTCAGTCCATCCGAAGAAAGTGAAATGCATAGAACCAAAGATCACCCTATGAGGGGGCAGAACCCTCCTAGGTGGCAGAACCAACCTTGGCAACAACCTGGCCCGTGGGCCCATCCACCTGGCCCTCCTTTTGCAGGGTCACAAGGTCACTTCAATTCTGATTACAGGCATATTGGACCTTGGCAGAACCAAAGGCACTTTGGCCCAATGAGAAGCGAGTATAACCAATATCATGGAGGTTTCAACCCGAGTCTAGGTCCTGGTCCAAGAATGGGACCAGGATTAATGGGGTCCATTGGTCCTAACGGGCCAATCATGCCCAATATCATGGGAAATGGCCCCATCGGTCCAATTGGCATGGCTAATCCTTCTATGCCCATGTCAGGGATTAATGGACCGCAAATGCTAGGCAATGGGCCGATGTCATCTGGACCCATTTCGGGTATCATGAATCCTAATCTGGGCCCACCGGGGCGAAACAGGTCACCGTCCAGTGGGAATTCCAAGTTTGATGTCGAAGGAGGAGTCAGTTACGAGGGAGCGTTTATTAGAGCTGGACCTCACAGTAGGGAATTGTCTCTTCCCGATCCTAAACTGTTGGAGGATATCGCTAATGATACCATGAAATCGATCAACATCGACAGTATTCCCAGGGAAATAAGATATTACGGCCAAACCGGTATCGTTTTTATGAATTGGGACGATCCTAGGGAGATTGGATTCCAGGACGGTATAAGAAGAATTCTGATCGACGACAAAGATACCATTGTTTGCGCCTTTAACGATCCTTACAAAGAGTTCATATATGACGACGAAGTTCATAGGTAAGTCTCACTAAATCTTGCCGAGAAATTATTGCTCGGTTCAAAATAGAATCGGACGTTTGAAACGAAGTATTATTTTCAGAATTAGACTGGGAGCTCCCACGAGGGAACTTTACGTTGATGATCGTTGGTACGAGTGTTACTTTGGCGGTCCTCCGATAATGGTTGACCTTGGAAAGAAAAAAGTTAGCTTTAAACTTGAAGGTCCGCCTCCACAAGTCAAAATCGGGACTGTTAAGAGGACCGACCTAGTCGTTGGGAAAATCAATCTTATCATTAATGCAAGAAACATGGTTCCTGTATTCCTTGATGCGAAACCACAAATGTAAGTATATACTTGACTTTAGATGAATCATTTCAAGTACTTTAGTCATTCTACAGATTACATTAACGAACACCGTTGCTCGTTAGATTTTTACAATGTGTTTTTGATACGTGCATGTTTATGGTATTCATGTTTTTACTGAATTTTTTCACCCCCTAGATTTGAAATCGAGGGCAAACCGCATACTCTAGAATTCACCGATGCCCTGCAAACCGTCCTATTGAATGGTCGTCCATTTGATGTAGAATTTGGAGGCCTTCCTAAGCCTATAATTGTCAGAGACAAGAAGCATTTTATTAGATTTACCGTGCTACCAAGAGGAGTACGCGCAGGTTATGTTAAAATAACCGGAATGCGAGGAGAAGGTCCTATTGAACCTCCTCCAAGTCCTCCAATCCTATCCAATAAATCAAAGCCGGAATCGATTACAACTCCTATTATGCATCAGCCAATGGAGCATGACTCTGCATCGCAAGATGGATCAGACCTTAATTCCACTCCCAAACCAGGTAAATGCAGTATTTAATTTTAAATGTAAAACATTATCTCTTATTACTTGAGTATCGCTGTATTTTAGTTTATAGACAAGTTTGAATCTTACAAGCCTTTTTTTTTTCTTTCTTCAGATTTGCAGCTGGATGTACTCTCCTCGGCACTGCCCTCTGCCATGGCGCCTGCATCTGGACTTTCGTACCAAGCTGAACCAATCGACAGTGCAGCTGCACCTGCACCTACTTTATCCTTACCTCTGAACATGACTGAATTGTTCCAGAGATTGGTCGAAACTGGTATTGTGCCAAACATAGTTGAGCAAAAGAAGCCAGAGGAAGAAGAAAAGAAGAAGCCAGAAATCATACCAGTATCCTTCGACAAGCCTGAAACTTTGAAAGTGTATGTACTTTACAATTTATTTCTTTTTCAAATATACAAGTGTTACAGAAAAATGACCTTAAAAGTGTTCCTAAAAAATTCCTTTGAGGAAACTCAAATCTGATGGTAAGAAAAACAAAAGAAATATGTACCCGACCCTTTGTTTAAGGCTTTAAATATCATGAATTAGTTGCAGGATTTTAATGAATCAGTTGCGAATATAATGGAATTCTCTTATTACAGAAAGCAACCAGCTATCGCAGCAGTTTTATACAGCGGCATGCAATGTAGCTCATGTGGAGCGCGATTTGCACCCGAATTGGCAACCAGATATAGCCATCATTTGGATTGGCACTTCAGACAAAATAGACGCGAAAGAGATTCAGCCAGAAAAGCTCATTCTCGGCCTTGGTACTATGACGTTAGCGACTGGATACAATTCGAAGAAATTGAAGATCTAGAAGATAGAGGTGAATTTAATTATCTTTTAATATGACTTAAGCTTAATGCCGTTACCATTAAAATCAAGCTGAAAACACGTAAGGAATAATTTTTAAAAACTTTTAATATAACTTAAGCTTAATGCCATTACCATTAAAATCAAGCTGAAAACACGTAAGGAATAATTTTTAATAACTTTTAATATGACAAGCTTAATGCCGTTACCATTAAAATCAAGCTGAAAACACGTAAGGAATAATTTTTAAAAACTCATCAGACACTTTGATACTATTTATTGTTTATTATGCTTGCTTCTGCTACCGCATATATAATTTTTTAATCAATTACTCAATGAATGTTTCTTAACAGCTCAAAGTTGGTTCGAGACGGAAAAACAGACTGCGGAAACTGAAGGAACTACAATGGAAGATACACCGCAAGAAACTGTTCAACATTCCGTACCTACGGGATCGGATGAAGATTCGCGATGTCAAGTTTGTCACGATGCCTTTGAACAATTCTATAACGAAGAGAAGGAGGAGTGGCATCTACGGGCTGCAGTCACATTCGAGGAGAAGAACTTCCACCCGCTCTGCCTTGAAGATCACAAGGTAAATTTAAGAAATTATAATCATTTGATATCTAGGAATATTGCGAAACAGTCCCGATCGATCTTTATCCGAAGGCTTTCCTATTAGCATTTTTATATAAACGAATTCTTCGTCTGTTGCATCTTGCGATAATAGGAAAAGTGTCTTGCGGTACGTGCTTCTTAATAATTTATCATTCCTTAGTAAGTTGCACTTTAGAGACTTCTACCTTCACTCCAATTGTTCTGTAAAACGCCGAAATATGCAGATTTATTTAAAGTTATTGTAAAGGCAATTTTGGAATATACTTATAGGTATATTCTCACAAATATACCTGCATCTGACTATCTATAAGTGAAAAAACTTATCCAAAATGAAAGTAGAAATATTTATTTCAATTACATTTTTTTTATTATAAAGTGAATTTTATCTAGATGGTACCCTTACTGCAGTGCAACAAATCTATATCTGAATTTCTCTAAGTCGTGTAGTGAAAGAATAATATCAATTATAGACAATTTGATAAATTATTCAAAATAAACCATTTTTCCCGTGGTTTTTATACTAAACAATGATTGAGGTTTTGAAAAGGTTGGTGACATACGACAATTTTAAATATTTAAAATTACACGCATTCATGCTTTTGGGCACTTTGTGATAACAAATTATAGAAATTTCACCCTATTTTTCCTTGACGAAAAATTCTTAATTACACTCTGCCATGTAATGCATATTTCTAACAAAATCATCAAATTTAGATGTTGTAATATCAACTATTTTTTTTTAGAAACAATTCTTACGTGTACTGAAATTGTCAAATTTAGCTGCAACTTTGCACTAAAAGCGACTAAGGAAAAAAGAAAAAAAAAGTTGAAAGTAAAAATTCAAAGTTCCGAACATCTATAATGTTTTTTAGCCACGACTTATTGCCTTTATAACAATTTTAATGTAATAACTATTTTATCTTATGCCCAGTGACGAATTCATGATCAATATTGAAAAGTCTAACGTTGCAGTCGAGAAGATTTCAGTTACCTTGCTTTCAGTTTATTCGTAGCAACATATCCGACGATTAGTTTCTTTACACGCTAGACCACGACTCCGCTTAGGTGCTGCAAAGTGGACATAAAGTAATCGCGCCTCTACATATACATATTTGGCACGAAACTCTACCGAGTTTCTTAATACCACTTGAAACATTTTCCGCTGCAACTTCCAGCGGGAGAAATATGAATATCCGTTGTTGTATACAATGTGTCCTATCTTAAAGTTTCGATTAGAACCTCTCCTCGGGAAAGCATTTTCGAGAAGACTGTTTTAGACGAAAGTAGTAGGGTTCGGAAAGTTGAAATTTTAGCTTAACAAGTAAGACTTAATAACTAAGACCTCGTATTCCCATCGTTTTAGCATAGAAGCGCATACAACACTTTTTTGACCTTTATCTCGTTCAAAAGCGAGTTTATCGATTACCAGAGTATTCTAAATTGTCGTAAAATTGTCCTGACCCTTTCGTTTCTCATATCAGAGCCTTCGATAATTGTATATTGATCGAAATATGAGAGCTCGACGCCATTTTGGTTTTGGTCTGGGCTAAGTTAAAGAATTTTTTCCAAAAATCCAAATTTTGAATGTATCAGGACTATTCTTAGGTGATCAGGAGTGATGTGTCAAAGTTTCGGACAGTTTGGTCTAATATCCTTAAAAAAAATTGTTGTATTCGAATCGACTGATTTGAAGGGGGTTTCACTTCACCTTAACACATTCGCGACCGGCAAATTTTTTTCCGTTTCAAATACTAAGTACCGGCGAAAATAATGAAACTCTGATACTGGTTGCCGCAAACTTGTATCGTGTATCGTCATGGACGTGATTCACGTCAGCGGCAATCAGGAATAGAATTTAAAATGACGTGAATTCACGTCAGCGGCAGCCAGGAATAGAACTTGAAAAGACGTGAATTCACGTCAGCGGTCGCGAATGTGTTAAAACACTTTTCTCGAAAATACTTTCCTGAGATGTTTTAATGGGAACTTAAAAATTTGGAGATCCTGTATAATACTGACAATGAACGTGTCGCTGCAACAATTATTCTATCGCACTTACGAGTACTATTTACGATGTAAAATACATATTAATGTTAAGGTGATAAAATAGCAAGTATCCCAAGGTTTGCTATAATTGATGATAGGAATATTAACTGAAATTTGGATATATATATAAAGACCTAATATATACAAACGTAGTTAGAATTACCTTAAAGTAACATTTTTCCTCCTAATTATTTACCGAAATTATTTAATCTCACCCTTTGGGTATTTCGATCTAATGACATATATATATCGAAGTTTCAAAAATTCATTTTGATCAAGGACCCTGCTTTCATAAAACGGTTACATCTTCATCACGGCAATATTTAATCTTTTTGCCTTATTTGGAATTGAAAAATCGTGTAACAAAACATCGATTTTGCACCAATAGTGCCGTAATATTACACCCTGTATGGAATATACAATTAAGCCCTCATCACTAATATGATATCACATCCCTCAATTTTATAGTTCATATAACCGTCTTATAATGCTTGCAAATTAATACATTATCTTAATGCATTCCTTTGCGCAGGACTAATATCGATCACCCTGTAAAGTGGGTGAATAAACGAATAATAGTTTCTTTACTAAATTTTGCGGAAATTGCATCAGGGTAATGGAATCTCTTTTATAGTATTTAATATATATAGTAAAAGATAATTCAATGTACTCAGGTAAATGGATACAGATTAAATATTGAGTTTAGCACCGGCTTACGCTATCTTGACACAAGTATAAATTTTGTTTCATGTAACGTAAGTCTATAGGAACCTATTAGGACTGAGTGACTTTGACATGACAAACCGATATTTTGACATACATCGACAGAGTATCGTACTAGTAGTATTCGATAAGAAATTCTGGAGATTAACATGACGTAAAATATATTTTGATATGGCGGTAAATATGACACCTCCTAAGGTGAAGTGAAACACGTCGAGGAACTTGATCAACGTCTATAAAGAATATTTTTCTAAATGCCTACGTTGCCGACGTTCGTTTTTATATTGACAGCTGTATCGAATTATATTGGGTATTGTACCAAATGGCATACTCCACCTGTCATTTTCGTACAATAATTATAAAGAAATCAAAGTAAAACTCCAGAAATCCCCCGAATTCATGCTTTCTGGGGGCCTAATTGACTGCAGAGGGACCCCCTGCGCCATCTGTGATTTTCAGGTCAATTAAATTTTCACTTCGAGACCTCGTATTCCCATCGTTTTGGCATAGAAGCGCATACAACACTTTTTTTGCCTTTATCCCGTTCAAATGCGAGTTTATCGATTACCAGAGTGTTCTAAATTGTCGTAAAATTGTCCTGACCCTTTCGATTCTCATATCAGAGCCTTCGATAATTGTATATTGATCGAAATATGAGAGCTCGACGTCATTTTGGTTCTTTCTGGGCTGAGTTAAAAAATTAAAAAAAAAATCCAAATTTTGAATGTGTCAGGACAACTCTTAGATGATCAGGAGTGATGTGTCAAAGTTTCGGACAGTTTGGTCTAATACCCTTAAAAAAAAGTGTTGTATTCGAATCGACTGATTTGAAGGGTGTTTCACTTCACCTTAACGTCTTTAGATTGAATCATTTTGGCCCGATAAATTCCTTTATGAAATTGTTGATCTTGGTATTGTTGAAAGGGGTATTTTTTTCAAGTCGGATATAAATCAAGAGTAGAAGCGTTTTTTAAAATAGATTTTACTCAGGTTTGACCACTTATGCCGAAGTTATCCTTTGAGCATGTCTAATGCTTTATCCATACCCCCTTAACATGAACCCTGCGGATGCATGTACAGCGTGTTCAAATGATTAATGTGCTTGTTATAAATTTAGCGGGCATTGGAGAAATCCGCACTGGCGATCGAGGAATCGATGATCGAACCCGAAGAGGAAAAGAAAGAGAACGGCGACGAAGCGAAAGCCGATAGCACGGAAATCAAAAATGACGAAACTGTCGCGGAAGGATGCGAAATTGAGACTGCTACCGATGCAAAAACTACCGAGGAGGTGACGGAAGACTCAACAAATACAAATGTTGAAGAAGAAGCCGAAAACTCGACAGTCTCGGAGAGTAAAGAAAAGGAAGACACTCCCGAAGAGGAGAGTACAACGGGAGAGTGTCCGGTCGACGAAGGTGTAATCTTGGAGACATTAAACAACTTGAACGAAGAAATAGGTAAAGCTAACGAAGGAAAGGCAGAAGGCGAAGAAGAAGCCCCTTCGTTTACGGATATTAAGATCAAAGAGGAACCGGTAGACGAGGAACACGTAGACGAGGATGAGCAATTTTTATTCGCTAATGTGGAAGTGAAAGAGGAGCCTCTTGACCCCGAACCTGGTACGTTTACTTCTGATACTATTTTATGTTTGCGTTGTAATTAACACTAGATTGCGCACTGAGCGTGTCATATATAGCAATAAAATCGTAAATGAGTCAAATTGACTCGTTCCGGCAATCTAGTGTTAAAATAGAAGGGAAAAAAAAACGGCCAAGAAAGTACGTTTCCAAATGAAAATAATTTAGGAACGGAAGGGAGGATTTCATTGCCTAGTGCTCGAGGGTATTATTTTAGTAATTAATTTCTTTAATGTATGTTAGATCCAGAAGAAAGCATCGTGACCGAGCCATCCTCAATCGACACGACACACGTGGCAGTTAAAAGCTCCATCGACGGCAACGTTGAGTTGGAATCGGCAGCGCCAACTATCCCAACGGCGGCTTCTCGAATTAAAATAAACATCACGAAGCCATTGACGATTAACAAGGAACCCGAGGAACCAAAGGAAAAACCCCAGCCTGCGGAAATCCCCGAGGAAGAATTCATGGAGCCGCTGAAACCGGCTTCGATTAAACCTGCTTTACAAGGCAGGAAACTGTCCACGTTGCCGCCGGTGGAGAAGGGACACGAGCTATCCGGGCTGTGTTCCATCATGTAAATATTCCCAGCCTGCGGTCGCGACACACCAATTGTGAGACTATACGCGACCGTTACGACGAGCTAACGAGTCACGAGAACCTCTAGCCTGTAACTTTAGAATTTAAATTTAGAACTAAACCGTAGTTCCGCGCGAACACGTCAGTTTCTGTACAACTGGTACGACATGACGTGAAAAATCATTACGGGGGCGAACCCGAGATATGGTTCCCGGGCGAGGAAACCGTACGGGAGTTATTAAATTCCTGAAATTTAATTTCATTCAATTGTAACCTTCAAAGCGCGTGAGAGCTTTCGACGCGTCGTGAATGTCGCACCTAAGCTCGGATATATTTATATCATGATAGAGATATTACTTCGCGGAATTCTTTAAATTATTTCCTTCGGCACATCACGTCGTACGAGTTATTTGACTCCTTGTATAGTGTGTAAATGATCCGTGTGCGTATACACGACCGATCGAGAAAGACCCGAACTTACGTCTGTACATATTTAAAGTAACGATAAGTTAGCTTTGAAACGTCAACTAGCATTCCTCAAAGTATTGCGTGCAAGCGGATTTCGTGGATGTCGGGTTGGCATTCACGGGGACGATACGACCTGCACAAGACTTAAATAGAAAGATTTCGTACCGTTTGTACTTTTTAAAAAAGGTGAGAAACCGTACGGAGGTACCTTTGGAACGTTTTTTCTTTTTTTTTTTTCTACAGATGCGATACTTGTTTAGATTCCACGCGAAGTATCAACTGAGAATACCTGAAGAATAATACGCATGAATCAAGAACTTATCGTACTCGCGGAGCAGCATTGCCACCTTGTTCAGTTGTTAAATCTGTACAAAATGTGTGATATATGGTTATCCATTATACTGTACATAATTCTATCATACTATCTATGATAATGCGATCGCGAAGATAATGATTAAGCGTAAGAATTACTACTAGAGAAACATTATTTTGTTGTATAAAAAGATATTTGTTGATCACTCGGGGGTTTGACTTTTTGGTTACTTATCTATCACCCTATATATTCTCTAACCTTTCTGATAACATCCTTTACGATAGTCAAAGCTGCTGAGGGAACGAATGTTTTGATTTTAAGGAAACGAAGATATTGACTTTCGAACGAAGGCTACCAGAACTTTGGCTACCGAACTTTGATTCAACTTAGTTTTTCGTCTTAACATTCAATAAATGAATCATTAAAGAAAACTTGTATTCGTTATTTACCCGACTTATCGCCTTGTTTTAAATAACTCGTAAAATAGTCCTGGGCTCTTAATATCAATTTTATGTTTTAATCATTTGCATCTTTAGGCACATCTCAGCTATAGGCTTTTTTTTTTACGTTACGTAAACAATATGAAACTTACAAAAGATTAAAACAATGTATTATGCGAGAAATGGGAAGTCATAATTTAGTTGTTTTTTGGAAGAACACTAAAGAATGTAACTTGAGGGCATTTGCTATCGCATCTCATCTCCAAAACGATATCTTCGAAAATCTGCAACGATGAGACAACTCCAATAGTCGAGCAAGGAGTTGGAAACCTACGGTGACCTGAAAATAGCATCAGTTTTTTTGTAATTATCATCCTGCGAGAAACTCGTGGAATGATAATTAACTTTTTTCTCTCTCATGATCACGTTATACTCGAACATGATTTTTTTTTCCCGCACTTTGGCCGAGGGTAAATTAATACTCAACAGACCTGAAAAGTTTATTCATAAACCACAGTTGTGTGGCCACCTAGGAAAGGGAATGACATCTTTGATGTTTGGTACGCCTAAAACGCATTGTAGAAATCTTTCAAATCCCATTCCAAAACCTGCGGTAGGCACATTGCCGTACTTGCGTAATTCCAAGTACCATTCAAGATTTAGCCCGATAGGCAATTTTGAATGTAATTTCGCGTAATTCTCTTCACGTACACTTCCTCCTACAAGTTCACCAACATGTGGCGCCAACAGATCCATTGCAGCCACCTTTAAACATTAAAATCAATTATCAACGCGTATGATACATTCTATTACAACATGCAATTCAAACGTAGCACAGCTTTTAGTATTGCTTTCAAATGACAATAAATTTTCTCATTGACCATTAAATTATACATATTTTAGTTTAGCCCTATATACTGATTCAACAATTAGCCACAGAAAAAAGTAAATAATATTTCGATAACTCTATTTTAGTTTCTTTTTTTACGACAAATACATAAATTAGTAAATAAATTATCTTAAAAGTGTACATATTGTTTTGCAAAAAAGAAGTTATACCGTTATACAGTTAATTGTAGCTATTAAGCTCGTTCCATTGCAAAAAAAAATTTATGGATTATAAGACCAAAGAATAAGTATTATGTATGAAAATAAAGTTACATTTAGAGACATAACAGCACGACCTCACCTTACTAGGATCATTTGGATATTCTCTCATGTAGAACGGTTTAATTTGGGATGGCCAATTAATGACAAAAAGTGGAATTTCGTTATTATGACGTACTAATAATAATTCGTGTTCTTTTGAAAATGCATCACCATACTTTATAGGATGCGTAAACAACTTTTCATTATGCTGCAAAATATTTACAGCCTCATCATAGGTCATGTACGTGAAACTTTTGTTAAGCCATTCTGGTTCCGATGCACCTATGACTGAAAAATCTTTAGAGCCCTTGTCGAGTAAAGCAGTTGTAAGACTTTTGACTAGAAGCTCTGCTTCCTTAGCTATATCCTCTATCTCTGTAATGAAAGCAGCTTCTGCTTCTAACATGTAAAACTCTGAAAGGTGCAACCGTGACTTTGAATTTTCTGCCCTGAATGTTGGCCCGAAGCAATACACCTTAGAAAGTGCTCTGAAAACAATTATTGTTCATGAAATTGAATCAATAAGAATTCATACGAATTGGTCCTTTAATATAATTACCTTGCTAAGGCTTCAAGGTGTAATTGTCCCGATACTGTTAAATAGGCTTTAGTATTAAAGAAGGCCTCTTCATGGGGAATACTATCTTTTTCCATACTCTTTAACAGTTCAACAGAATCTGGTTGCACTTTAAATACTTCCCCTGCACCTTCACAGTCATTTGACGTTAAAATGGGAGTATGTACACTTATAAAATTTCTGGCTCTAAAATGATCAACAACAGCTGTAGAAGCTATGTCTCTTAATCTCAACAAAGCAGAGAAAGATTTTGTTCTTGGTCGTAAATGTAAATACTGCCGCACATAATCTGGAGAATACTGCTTCCTTGGAAGAAAAGGATACTGATCATTGACATCGCATGTGCCAATTACCAAGACATCATTTGCTCGTAATTCCATCCTACCATTAGGAGCAGTAGCTAGCGTTCCCTCTACTACAACGCTACTGCCGCAAGTTAAATTACATAGTTTATCACTCTTTGGGGTAACAACTTGCAGAAATTCACTGCTCGAACCATCATTAATGTCAATAAATATGTTATTCTTCATTTTTCTCAGAGCACTAACCCATCCCTAAATATAGAATAATTTATTTCAGTGTAATCGAAATAAGTAAAAAATGATAATATTCAAGATACAAATCATTTAAAATGATTTAGATTCAACTTAAATCAATTTCTCATAATCGTTACTTTACCCTGAATAAACATTCAATTAATTTAATAAACGTAGTTTACTTTTTGATAAAATCTATCTTAAACCAAATTATGATTATTAGTAAAGTTGTATATTGAATACATTCAAAGATGCATCTTTTATTCCATATATACTGAAGTTCTGTCTATGATGCATATCCTGCAACGTTAATTTCGAATGGGTTAATTTATGTGGTAATAATAACAAATTATATAATATCAAATTAATATCAGTATAGAAATAGTACTGCATGTATAAGTTCGTAGACTGTAAAAATGAGAAATAACTGGTCCTAGTTATAAGGAATATTAGTGATTTTATTCAATTCTACATATTCTTTATTCTGGATAGGACCATTTAGTCGTATTAAAAAATCCTTTTCACTATAATAGGAGCACCCCTAAAATTCATCAAGCATTAAACCTTTATTGTATACAGAAACGTGTTCAAGCCTGATACCTGTATACCTACGTAAAAAATGTTGAATCGCATTCATGATTGTTACGACAAAAGAAGATTCTGATAATGCCTGATAAGTAAGCATTTTCAATCTTCCATTGAGGCATACGAAAGGTAGAAAACAAAATATGCTAACCTTCACTTTCATATGCTTTCCAGTTTCTTCGTTTGATATGGTTTCAGAAATTCTTGCGAAATTGTGTAAGTCGCACCTTGACGAGAATGGGGGTAATGAAAATGACCGTAACAAACGTTTCGGTATCATTTTAAATAGAGAATCTTAAACTTTTCAACGAAAAGAATATCCTCTAAAGACCATGGATCCTCCTGCTTTCCATGAGTGAGAATGGAGATTTACATTACCAAATTCGACCAAAACCGCCTTAAGGAAAAATATGATCACATTCCGATGTCAGCCATGTTTAAAATGAATTAGGTTGCGTTCAGAAATGATCCTTTTTTTAAACCAGTTTAAACTCTGCTTGGGTCTGCTCTAACTTCAGTGGTCAATGGTTTCAAAGGTTCTCCTTACAGTAAGGTTCTTTTTATTGCCACTTGAGCGTATTGTCAGTAGAGTTCGAAAATTCTCGGTAACATTAAATTGGAGAAGGTAACTGTGAAACATACCGTAAGTTACCGGGAACATTGAGAATTTAAGAGAACGTTAATTTTGTTATTTATACTTTAGGTTTCTTCGTTTAAATAACTTTTTTTTTTCAATCAACTTCGAAATTCAAGCTAAAGAGTAATAATTACTATTAGAAAATATTGATTATAGGGTCGTATTTACCTCCAGCTAAAAATATTCACGTATGTACAACTTCACGGAAAATTCCATGCGATTTGTTTCAAACGAACTGATATTTCATTCTGCGACGAAGCGAATGGGAGGTTTTGATTGGCTACGGAGAACGTACAACGGAAATACCCCTCTACGATGTTTCTCTATAGCTAATCGAAACCTCTCGTTCACTCTGTTGAAAAATTCAAATTCTCATAATTTCTCGATAAAAAAGGCTTTGGAGAAATTACCGATAAGTTACCGGGAATTTCTCTTCGTTTCTGACGTAATTTACTGGATTTAGAACTCTAGTTGGCCGCCGCTGACGGCAAGTGCATTAGCTGCCTTCATTCTCCACAGAGGGCAGCACAGCACGCGATTGCACGATCCTGTTCGTGAGCAATCTCTCAACTTATCTCTATTACAGTTCACGTGAGATCTGTAATAAATAAATATTAGGTTATGTTGTTTATCTATACAATTTTTGGGCAGAACTATTGATAGAAACTTGTTGAATCCCTTTTAGTTGCACATTTACAGGTAAAACTTCTATCTATATTAATATCGCTAGATTCTTAACGAAAGTGTAGAAACATGGAAAGATTTGACGAAATGCATACGTTTCCTTTCAAATTTATATTATATTAAACATTGATTCATCATTTAGCGAATTTTTGTTCTAGGTGTTATTGTACAAGATGGGAAAAGCTAAGAAAATTAAAATAACTAAAACCGACAATCCGCGAAACAGAGTCGATTTAGCAGGACAAATAGAAGCTGACAAAACTGTTAAACAAAAAAATAGACAAAAGGAAAAACATAAACATGAAGACAAAGAAGAGGAGGTCAGTTCCTGTACATCGTAATTTTAATGATATCCAAATTTTACTAATGAAACTTTTCATTTCCCAGTTTGTGGATGCAAACCTGACACAAAAAATATTGTCGCAAGCCAGACGACAACAACGAGAAATGGAAGAGGAGCATGGAATTGATTCTGGTAGTGAAACTTTTAAAAGGCCAGTAACAAAGCTTGGAGCAGACCTTAGCGGTGACGAGCAAGAATCCAGTGAAGATGAGATCGAGAATGATAAATCCTACCAAAAAATTGAAATAAATGAAGAAGATGAACGAGCTCTACAGATGTTCATGAACAAAGATGCTGTACCCATGCGCACGTTAGCTGACATTATAATGGAAAAGCTCACAGAAAGGAAAACAGAAATCCAATCCCAATTTTCAGATGCTGCCTCGATGCAAATTCAGGATTTAGATCCAAGGGTAAAAACTATGTATGAAGGTGTACGGGATGTACTTTCAAAGTATCGTAGTGGTAAACTGCCCAAGGCATTTAAGATTATACCAAGCCTAAAGAATTGGGAACAGATATTATATATTACTGATCCCTCAAAATGGTCGGCAGCTGCTATGTATCAAGCTACAAGAATTTTTGCCTCCAATTTGAAAGAAAAAATGGCACAACGATTTTATAATCTTGTGTTACTACCACGTATCAGAGATGACTTGGCTGAATACAAGAGACTAAATTTTCACTTATATCAAGCTGTACGTAAAGCCCTGTTTAAGCCTGGTGGGTTCATGAAAGGTTTATTACTACCTTTACTAGAATCTGGGACATGTACTTTGAGAGAAGCTGTTATCATTGGATCAGTTATTGCCAAAAATTCAATACCTATATTGCATTCATCAGCAGCAATGTTAAAAATAGCAGAAATGGATTACAATGGAGCAAATAGCATCTTTCTTAGAGTATTTTTTGACAAGAAATATGCACTTCCATACAGAGTGATAGATGGAGTTGTATTTCATTTTCTCAGGTACGTATCCTTTCTTTTCTATAAAGTGACAGTAAACTTAGATCCATTAATAATTTCTCAGATTTGTATTTTGAATATGCCTTTACTTATTAAATTAATATATACTCTTGAAGGTAATGTACAACAGGAAACAATTTAACCCTTTCAGTATGGCTATGCCTATTACAAAAACAAATGCTTCTGCTGTATGAATACTAAAATGTTGAATATAGTGCTTGTAATCACTGATAGGATATAGTGAACATGCGATAATGGCTATAGTCATCCTTAGTATTGAAAGAGTTAATTAAGAATTGATCCAATCTATGGTGCAATTACATTTTTATATGGCTACTCAAAATACAATTTGAGAATAAATGTGCATGTTCACATGATATTAAATTTATAGGTTTGAACGAGATCCACGGGAATTACCTGTGCTGTGGCATCAGTCTCTTTTGACTTTTGTACAACGATATAAAAGTGATATTAGCACTGAACAAAGAGATGCCTTATTGAATCTATTAAAAAAACAGTCTCATCATTCAATTACCCCTGAGATACGGAAGGAACTTCAGACTGCAACTTGCCGTGATATTGAAGTCACAGCCCCTGTACCAATACCGTCAACGTGAATAGAATTAATAAATTCAAACATATAAATAACACTCGATCTTTCATTCTCATGCACATTTTCCCCCTATTTCATCAGTTAACATTTGCGGGACAGGTTTTAATTTTTGTTTGTAAAATGTTGTATATACTCTTTATACGAAAAAAACGTAATTTCTATATAGAATCCGCAGTCATCTAGTTAACTTTCTCAGGCGACAATACCTCAAAGGCGTATCATTGTATCCTAGAAAGTTCTTGCTATATAGTGTTCACTTAAAAAGCATGACTGGATGTCCTTGTATAAGGTACACTCTTAAATATTTATCACTTTATATCCACAAAGGAACATCTAAAATTATGTTAAAACTTGTTGATTCAACTGTTCAAGATTCTTAGTTTTCGGGAATGAAATGTTGTCAGTACAACAATGATGTGGTCTAATTCATTTCTTCTTGAAGAAGTTAGTAATACTTTTACTGCCAGCTGCAGCTCGTTGCCTAGATAATTCTTTCTTGGATGTTGTTGCAGCTTTTTGTGGCTGTAAATAAATCAATTAATTTGAAAACTAGGCAGACATTATTAAATTAAGTTATCCTAAGTTTACTTAAATAACACACAAACGGCAAGAATATAAACTAACCTTCTCCGGTTTTGTCAAGTCAAGTACCCTATTTTTTGGTAAACTATCTCCATCAGATGTTTCCTTTTTGGGTCGTTTTTCTTCACTTACTTCCTTAGAGTTACTTAACTTTCTTTTCTTGTTTTCTCCTTCCTCGGGTAAATTTAAACATTGAGCCAATTTCTTTGACAAATCCTCTGGTAGATATTCCGATACTATACCATGAGCATATTTTAAATATTCTGAAATATTAATGTTACGTGTAAGAATTATAATGAATTTTGAAACTATATGTAAGCGTTAAATACGAACAAATAAAATTCTAACCAATTTCAGTCCCTACTTCAAATTTATTGCTTTTCACATAAGTGGCACTAATAGCACCTTGTGAAACATGAATCTTTTTTTGTCGTAAAACTTCAGCTACCCTTTCTACCTTTCTTCTTAACCATCTTAGGGTTTTATCCTCATTATACTTGAAAGCTAGCAAATCTTCATCCCCATATCGGTCAGCAATTAGAGACACTTTCAAATTTTGGCAACGTGCCAAACGAGTTGTTTCAGGATAGTCGTCGTCGTGAAGACTCTGCTCCAGTGGTGCAACATGTTGTGACTGCAGGTAGAGAATTTAAATGTTAATAACATTCATAATTATATGCAAAAAATCTATATTGATATCTATTTCAATTCACCTTTTGTAAATAGGGCAGAACTAAAAATATAGGATCAATCGGAGTAGACAGATGCATCTTTCCATCTGACTTTACGTAATCGTCCACAAACCAGGATCTTTTGTTTTCGTCGAAGGTTAATACCTCCTGTACCGTCAAATCTCCTGGACTGAAAACGAACATGGCCGGTTGATTCGAAGCAGGATGCTTGAGTTTTACGATATCTGGAAGACCTCCATTTTTGCTGTCTAATCCATCCCCTGAAAAAGGATTCTACTTTCATATTTCTTTCAAGAAACAGTATTTTAAAAAGCACAATTATAAAAACATGTACTTCAGTTAACAATTTTATTTCAAGAAATTATTGAAATTGAGTAATTCTACTTTAGATGCATTATAACATTCCCTCTGTGAAGAATTACAATACGAGCAAAGAATCGGCATGCATTTCAGACATGCTCACAAAAAATAAGTTTCAATGGACTTCATGGTGAATTTTTAATAACAAGTCGCTGCTCGAAAGCTACCTAATTGCAACGTTAGTTATTAACTACTTCTAAAGTAGTAATTAATTAAATAACAATATTTATTTTTGAAGAATGGATTCAATTTCGTTAGAGACTTTCATTATTCAAAATCTGTATATCTTTATGGTAAGTTATATATTTTTTCAAATAAATACTCCAAAGTAATGTTAAAACACATACATAGGTACCTCACATACAAAGTAACGTACCAACGATAATTTTGCAACACTGAATTAAAATACGAGTTAACTCATATCTAGAATTACCTTTCATAAGGAACACCCATGTATTTGCAGCCGGGTGTGAATTTGACGTTTTTACACATTTCTTCGGAGAAGCCTTAACGCGCGGCATACCCTTGCCGAGGTAACACTTGTTGTCAACAGTGTCAATAACAAACACTCAATCACTCTGCACGACGGACGGAGTACTCGAGATGCACACAGATTCCGATTTTATGCGACAGCCATTTTTGACAACAAGCCGGCTACTCGGCGTAAATAACCGCGAGCAGAATTTTTTTATACGAACATTTTATCACGCGTGCGTCTTACGCGACGACACGAACAATAAGGATCCTGTGAGCTGCATAGCCACTGGTACGCGAAATGACATCAGAGAGAATATCCTGGAATATCCTGAAACGTATGGATCGCGAGGTTAGGCCTCGTATGGAGGGAGAATGATGAACGGACCCGTTGCCCTGAAAAAAACCTTCTAGATTCCACGGGATTCGCGCTGCATGAATGGATCATCCCTAGATCGATCGAGTAGAAGGTTGCCTCGTACGCATCTCTTCTCTGCTATCGAGAGACCAGTCTGTCTCACTTCCGCTGCCGTTTCCAGCAATGAGTGCGACAAGCTCCGACGCGGACAACGTAGGCGGCCATCTTGAATATGGACCAAGGACGAGTCGCGATTGGTCGATACTTTTGACGCAATTCGTTTTCCGCTTCGCTCGCCTATCAAGAACGGCTTTCTTTGCCTGCCGTTTAGGAACTTAAATTATAGCGATGCACGATTTCTTTACTTTCGGTTGTTTTGAATATATATACCTGGAAGATATATTCGAGCTTGTATCCACGAGATTTTGGATCGAGATCGTTAAGTGTATGGTGTGAAGTTAAATGCAATATAATACCTGTTACAATATTCGACATGATATGACATGAAGTTAGCAAATAGTATAGAAAAATGGAACAGAATGCATTTTTATTCGAGATCTCGGACCACGTATTAACCAGAGATGAGTTGGGAGATTGCTCACGGGCAGGGTCGCGCGAT